TTGCATATGTAATGTATATGTATATTTCTAAGATCAAGGGAAAGGGGATATCTTCATCCTGGGAAAAACAGATGGAATTATCCGAAATATACTTTATTATATTACATAAAAATACAGTCGTCTTTTGACCAAACATTATACACTGTTCAGCCAATATGCAACAGTGTAAGGTAAACAGGCCAAGAAAATCGAACAAAGTATTAACTTGAAACATGGTGATATTATGCCTGAGGTGTATGTAAATATTGGCTATCAGGAAGAACTAATGGAACATGCAAATATAATTACCCAAGAAATTGCAGAAATATCCAAAATGCAGGTGCATTTCTCTCTGGCTGGAAAATAGTGTAAATATCCAAGCTGTACAAATTCACTAAACAAGACAGCTCTGGCGAGGTTGCGTATTGGCCATACTCGCTTAACCCATGGTCACTTGATGGAGCGCCGCCCTGCTCCTTATTGTCCTAGTTGCATTGCCCCTCTTACGGTCGTGCATGTCCTTCTTGAATGTCCTGACTTCCAGGACGAGCGTGTGTCTTGCTTTCCGACCGTCCCTCGCGGTCACCTGTCCCTCGATAGAATTCTTGGTGACTCGGATACTTTTGATATCGTTCGCCTTATGCGTTTTTGTTCTCGTATTGGCATCCTTGGTGATATTTAGCGCCCTCTGATTATTTTGCGCATTTGATGGTGCTACATAGCCTTCCCGGTTTCGTGCCTTCTTTTGATAATTACTTACTCACTAAACAAGAAAGAATGCTCTGACAGAGACTGCCCAATATTTCATATCTAACAAACCTGGCGAATACAAAAAATGTGAATACAGTAAATCCCATACATACCGAAGAGATTTTTAATAAAAGAAAGCAAAAAAGAGTGACAAAAAAAATGTCAAAACTCTACCACAAACCCGATGCTAGACAGGACACAATGCCGCCCCAACTGAACCAGACATTAAAACCAAGCAACATACTCACCACTCCCCCAAAAGTGATAACTCATTTTGTATTGGCCAGCATATAACATGCAGAACAAAGTCCTCTTTATAACTACTTTCTGAATATAGCAATTGAAGACTAATATTGCCAGTAAGGTATTGATACCAGAATTTCAACTTTTCAAGAGTGAGAAAACACAGGCTACAGGGTTATCTTGAGGTTATCTTGAGATGATTTCGGGGCTTTAGTGTCCCCGCGGCCCGGTCCTCGACCAGGCCTCCACCCCCAGGAAGCAGCCCGTGACAGCTGACTAACTCCCAGGTACCTATTTACTGCTAGGTAACAGGGGCATTCAGCGTGAAAGAAACTTTGCCCATTTGTTTCTGCCTCGTGCGAGATGATGTTAACCTGTACATCAAAGACAACCTCAGCTACACTCAGCTGCTTAACGCCTCAAACAAAATGGTGGCAAAGCTGATAATCAAAATATATATTCTAGATGTGATGATTGTCCTTGTATGGAAGTCGTGACTTTCAAATCTTTAACAGTCTAAAAGACCAGATTGTGAATTTTTGTAAGCGTTATTCTATTTCCATGTCATCTTGCTTTGTGACTTCATTTTGCCGCACCTAAAATGGAAAGAAGTGGTGGAAATTAGTTTTACTCGAAGGAATCCCAGAAGGTAGTCTAAATGAACAGTCAGTCAATTGACCTCTTATGGATGTGTGAAAGATTTGTCTTAAACCAGCAAATAGTAGAATCAACCATAAAATAAAACTCCATTTACTTCAATTTTACAATGGTGAACTGGTTAGGAAAATAATGATTACAAATACAGGTATAACCTAATGGACGTTCAGACCATCATAGCCAACAGACCTGTGCAGCCACTCTCAAATTGAGAAGAGAAGAATTAAGCAAATTAATTTTGTTAAAATAAACTGATTAACTGAGAACTAATGAGCCAAGATCCCGTAGAAGTAGGCTGTGAAGAACAGCTAAATAATGGAACTCTAAATCAGTGCTTCGAGAAAAGACAGAGTAGTACTAAACATTTGTGGAAGTCAAATACCTCCGAAAAAAGGGAAAAAATATACATAGTGGAACGAAAACGGTGTTCTCTTTATAGGCGAAGAAAAAGTATTGCATACAACTAGAACACACCACACAATCTCAAGAACGAAAACGAAGGCTGTACAGAGATATAGAAACGATCGAATAAAAGTTACTTGAATAATATAAAAGACCATCAGTGAAGTAGAGTAACACAAAATTAATTTGCTATATAAAATATCAAACAAGAGCTACAGCCAGTAGTGACCTTTTGTACAAGTGTGGTGGAACTTTCACAGATGACAAGGAAATAAGATAAATTCTGACGCTTCAGTACGATTCTGTTTTCAGAGAACCCCTGAAAACATTAAAGATAAATGATCCAAACGAATTCTCCGTGAATTTGATACCAACTTCGAACCATAAATCAGATGTCACCCCTAACCCCACTGAGCTTTGAGGTTGCCATAGACAGCATGCCCAGTGCACCCGGCCCAGGTACTTGGAATTCTATATATATATAAAAATGGCAAAAACCGCTATTTGCCATTTTTTATTCTATTCTATTCTAGCGAGGGAGTTCTAAACAACATTTGGAGACAGAGCCTAGATACTAGTGTTATCACCAACGTATTAAAACAGTGGAGAGCGCGCCAATCCACAAAGGTGGTAGTAAAGAAGATGAAAAGAAATTATAGACTAATAGCAACATCAGAGATCATAAAAATCTTTGAGTGCTAAGAAGGAGGATCACAAAACATACGAAATCGGTGGCTACATAATCCTAGATTGTGGGTTCAGTACAGTTCGCTCCTGTCTCTCACAATAGCTAGACCATGACTATAGAAGACCATACCTAGTCTTAGAGGCAATGGATGACAAACAAAACGCTAATATAATATGCATAGATTTCGCGACCGCTTTCGACAGCTGTGACCATAGTGTTATTGCACACAAGATGTGCACCAAAAAGTTACCGACAAAGTACGAAGATTAACTTTCTAACAAACAGAACCCTGAATGTAATTGTCAACAAAATCAAATCCGGATCATCCACCGGGAGAAACACAGTACACTAAGGTACTGTATTTGCTACGTCACTTTTCTCGTCATATCGGACCTTGGCAAGGACACATTATTGAACTGTGTTATCCTTTGCGTATGACACTATGATTTCCATGAGAGTAGACAGTGTAGAGGACACGACAGACCTACAAACTGATGGATTTGGAGGTCAGGTCAGACCTCTCCAATAACATGTTTACTGGAGATAAGTTCCAGCTCCTGCGTTCTGGAAAACACAAAAGTATCAGAACGTAAACAAGGTACAAAACTCAGATTATATTACCGAAAAAATTCCTAAAGATTTGGGAGTAAGATCGGAAGTCTTTACCGTGAAAGAACAAAGAAAAGTGTCTAACACAACTGCAAGAAAAATAACATGTTGGATAGCAAGAACCATTCAAACTAGAGATGCCAGAAGAATATTGATACTTTCGAAGACGCCAGTATTCTCTAGAGTGGAATACTGCTGCACAATAACAACCACATTCAAAGCTGGAGAAATTTCTTATCTGGAGAGCGTGCAAATAACATTTACTGCCGGAATTCATTCGATAAAACATCTACAATATTGCGATCGCTTATAATTTAGAAATCTGTAATCCATATAGAGCGTGGCTGAGAGAAATACTTAATAATTTACACAAAATATTAGAGGAACTGCTACCAAATTTGCACGTGGAAATAATGCCACATGAGACCAGGAGGCACGGCAGGAAGTGCAACATAGCCCCGTTGGAAAGCACAAATGCAATAGGAACGCTGAGAGACGATTCTATCAACACTAAGGAGCCAAGACCTTCCAACACTACCATCTTTACTTATAAGAGGCACAACTAACCGATCTCTCTCGGTGCTCTAAAGAGAACTTGATAAACACCTTCGAAGGATACCTGATAACACGACAGTGGGTCAAGCTCACACACCGAGCTACGAGCAGCTGCGTCTAACAAACCTGGTTAACCTGACCAGCAACCAGAAAGCCTTGACAGAGACCGGGTCGCGAGGACATTGATCCCTGGAACCATGAACAGGTATCACACCGCCGCTTCACAGGGCTCCAGGTGCTGAGCGTCAGGTGTGTGGTAAACACAGCAGCCAGTAAACAGTTTCCCTCGCTTGAGGTGAATACCAGGCGACTCAACACGTGTTTATAATGAGGCAAACAAGTCTTGCTTCAGATATCATCATCATCATCATCATCATCATCATCATCATCCTGTGTGGTCAGGCAGGCGTGTTGCAGCGGTTTGCAACCCAAACAAATGTCTATTTGTTCGACGTAACGCGCTTGTCGTTAAGTCGTTAATGTTTCAGTGTGCACGACGCAGGAATACACGGAGACGGTAAACTGCTTCCAGCGGGAACGACCCCCCCTCGCAACGACCCCCCCCTCGGAACGACCCCCCCTCGCAACGACCCCCCCCCTCGCAATGACCCCCCCCCCTCGCAACGACCCCCCTCCTCGCAACGACCCCCTCCTCGCAATGACCCCCCTCCTCGCAACGACCCCCTCCTCACAATGACCCCCCTCCTCGCAACGACCCCCCCCTCGCAACGACCTCCCCTCCTCGCAACGACCCTCTCCTCGCAACGACACCTCTCTCGCAACGACCCCCACTGACAAAGACTCCCCTCTAAACGACCCCCCCCCCTGGCAATGAGACCCCTCTAAGCGACCCCCCCCCCCTGGCAGCGAGACCCCTCTAAACGACCCCCCCCCCCCCCCACTGGCAGCGAGACCCCTCTAAACGACCCCCCCCCCACTGGCAACGACCCCCCCCCCCCACTGGCAACGACCCCTCCCCCACTGGCAACGAGACGCCTCTAAACGACTCCCCCCTGGCAACGACTCCCCTCTCAACGACCCCCTCTGGCAACGACCCCCTCGCCTGTGTTGTTGCCGCCACCACCCTCTTAAGTGCTACACTTAACAAAGAGCCTCGTTAAGATCCAGCGGTGTGTTGTTGGGCGGCGTCCTGGTGGAGGTGTTGGGTCTTGTGGAGGGCTCGTGGGTCTCCCGGCGTCCTGGTGGAGGTGTTGGTTCTTGTGGGGGGCTCGTGGGTCTCCCGGCGTCCTGTGGTGGAGGTGTTGGTTCTTGTGGAGGGCTCGTGGGTCTCCCGGCGTCCTGGTGGAGGTGTTGGTTCTTGTGGAGGGCTCATGGGTCTCCCGGCGTCCTGGTGGAGGTGTTGGGTCTTCTGGAGGGCTCGTGGGTCTCCCGGCGTCCTGTGGTGGAGGTGTTGGGTCTTGAGGTGTTGGTTCTTGGGGGCTCGTGGGTCTCCAGGCGTCCTGGTGGAGGTGTTGGTTCTTGTGGAGGGCTCGTGGGTCTCCCGGCGTCCTGGTGGAGGTGTTGGGTCTTGTGGGGGGCTCGTGGGTCTCCCGGCGTCCTGTGGTGGAGGTGTTGGTTCTTGTGGGGGGCTCGTGGGTCTCCCGGCGTCCTGGTGGAGGTGTTGGGTCTTGAGGGGGGCTCGTGGGTCTCCCGCCTTCATACACAAAACACCAGAGTTGTTAGCGGTGAAGTGCCTGACGTCGCCAGCCACACGCTTCAAGCATTCCAAACACAGCTTTAATTCATCATGACTTCAGCTGCTCTCAGGTTTGTTCCTGAGAGGCGAGAGAGAGAGAGAGAGAGAGAGAGAGAGAGAGAGAGAGAGAGAGAGAGAGAGAGAGAGAGAGAGAGAGAGAGAGAGAGAGAGAGAGAGAGAGAGTAGAGAGAGAGAGAGAGAGAAAGAAAGAGACGGAGTGATTTAAAGAAAGTAAAGAGAGGGAGGAGTGGACGAGGAGAAAAGGGTAGAGGAATGAAAAGAGAAGGGAGAGAAAGTTCCGGTAGAGGTAAGGTGATGATTAGGAGAGAGCGACAAGCCATTACGACTATACAACACTTGGAAAGGATATAAGGATAAAGATTTAGGATAGGACGGAAGGAAGGAATGGTGCCCAACCACTTGGACGGTGGTCGTCTGAACGCCGACCTGCATGAAGCTAGACCGTCTCTGTACCGTCTTCCCCAAGAGGTTGGGTCTTCCGGTAGAGATAAATGAGATAAAGAAAGGAAGGGTGAAATAGAAATTTGGATAGAGGGAGAGATGGAGAGAAAGATGGGGAGAGGGAAACTAAGAGAGGAATGGTGAGAGAGAAAGAGAGAGACAGACAGACAGAAAGAGAGATGGGGAGAGAGAGAGAGAAAGAGAGAGAGAGAAAGAGAGAGGGAGAGGGAGAGAGAGAGAAAGAGAGAGAGAGAGAAGAGAGAGAGAGAGAGAGAGAGAGAGAGAGAGAGAGAGAGAGAGAGAGAGAGAGAGAGAGAGAGAGAGAGAGAGAGAGAGAGAGAGAGAGAGAGAGAGAGAGAGAGAGAGAGAGAGAGAGAGAGAGAGAGAGACCACCATGGAGGCTGGTGTGTGTGTATACGGGACCATAACAGAGGAACGACCACTAACAAGACACTGGCGGATACAATAGTGAACAACATTTCATATAAAATGCTTCGTTCAGAGAGAATTATAATTAATCCACTAGCAGCTTCCTCAGTCTTGGCTTCAGCGGCACTAGCAGCTTCCTCAGCCTTGGCGTCAGTGGCACTAGCAGCTTCCTCGGCCTTGGCTTCAGCGGCACTAGCAGCTTCCTCGGCCTTGGCGTCAGTGGCACTAGCAGCTTCCTCAGTCTTGGCTTCAGCGGCACTAGCAGCTTCCTCAGCCTTGGCGTCAGTGGCACTAGCAGCTTCCTCGGCCTTGGCTTCAGCGGCACTAGCAGCTTCCTCGGCCTTCGCTTCAGCGACACTAGCAGCTTCCTCGGCCTTGGCTTCAGCGGCACTAGCAGCTTCCTCGGCCTTGGCTTCAGCGGCACTAGCAGCTTCCTCGGCCTCGGCGTCAGTGGTACTAGTAGCTTCCTCGACCTTGGCTTCAGCGGCACTAGCAGCTTCCTCGACCTTGGCTTCAGCGGCACTAGCAGCTTCCTCGACCTTGACTTCAGCGGCACTAGCAGCTTCCTCGGCCTTGGCTTCAGCGGCACTAGCAGCTTCCTCGGCCTTGGCTTCAGCGGCACTAGCAGCTTCCTTGGCTTCAGCGGCACTAGCAGCTTCCTCGACCTTGGCTTCAGCGGCACTAGCCGCTTCCTCGGCCTTGGCTTCAGCGGCACTAGCAGCTTCCTCGGCCTTGGCTTCAGTGACACAACTAGCTGTATAATAGTCTACCATTGGTGCGTGGATTGTCTGCTGCTGGGATGGGCCTAGAAGTGTGAAATACTAGACAATAGAATAGTTACCCATTTGGTTCGAGACCGCCATGGGACTTGAGGCTGTACCGTTAGCACAGTCCGGTTCATTCTCGACTCACAATCGAGAATTCAGGGTTCGAATTCCGGCCGAAACAACAATGGTTGTGCGCATTTCCTATCCCCTAATATTAGCCTCTCTTCTCCTAGCAGTACAGGAGCTAGTTAGCGTGTTGTGGGGTTGTATCCTGGGAGGGGTCAGTAATTCGACCTTGGGGGTGGGGGGTGGGGAGGATCTTGATATAAGCCTAATGTGTATTAATACACTCTGGCTGCCTGTCCTCCGACACTATGAATTATAATTATGAGTTATACTTTTACTACAGAGCCGCCCGTCCGGTGCTACTAGAGCCACACTGGGTACACTTCACTGCCTGTGGAGCCACAAGTTGGTCACGCTGGGGCCCTCTGTTGCCTCTGGACACATTCGTATCTCACTCTGGTGTGACTAACACTTGGTTTTGTTCACTCACAATTCCTAACGCGAGCATCATTGTGTTTACTGGAGAGTATTCATGTAGATATGTTAATGCAGTGTATGAAGGCGGCGAGAAGTCTACGGTGTTTGCCACCCACGGTTCACTATCAGCGAGTCGGGCATGCGCCTAAGTTCTCTAATTGTTTCTCATCAATATTTCGGCTTAGCTGTATTCAGTGTGCTGAATTTTTTGTTGGCATGAAGAAGAAAACTGTTAGCAATGCTCGTTTCCCCAAAATAAAAGTGCGTTTATCAGTTTGGTGTTGAAACAAGGCAAGTTCACCTACCTAGAGCTCCAGAAAATGAGGTATCTATCAAGCCATTATGGGTATTATTGCACATTCTCCCTCTTGCAACACATGAGCAACAGGGACCGCAGCAGCTTCCCGGAGAACCTGTCTCCCAGAGACGTGTGAAACAGCAGCTAACTGCTTCACATTCGTGTAACCTTGTATCCTCCCCAGGATATCTTCACTCGGGGGTAAAGTGGCTCCCACACCCAGTGCTCACCATATATTCTACTCGCCTCCGCTCTGTTGTACCTCGTGCAAGCACACACATGTATATGGGAAGCAAGGAGATCCCTTACTACGTATGGACACAGACAGGTCGGCCACAGCACCACGTTGACAGAGGCACTGAAGAATGACACACACAGCAGGGTCAGACAACCCTAGTACGACTCCTCACTGTCTCGCAGCCTCTGTGGCAATGTGTGGTCAGCTTAGCCTCCTCCTCAAGTGTGTCTGTTATGCTAAGATGTGGTTATGTGGTTATACTAAGTATACTAGCTGATAGGGATGTGGTTATACTAAGTACACTAGCTGATAGGGATGTGGTTATGCTAAGTACACTAGCTGATAGGGATGTGGTTATGCTAAGTACACTAGCTGATAGGGATGTGGTTATGCTAAGTACACTAGCTGATAGGGATGTGGTTATACTAAGTACACTAGCTGATATGGATGTGGTTATACTAAGTATACTAGCTGATAGGGATGTGGTTATTCTAAGTACACTAGCTGATAGGGATGTGGTTATGCTAAGTACACTAGCTGATAGGGATGTGGTTATGCTAAGTACACTAGCTGATAGGGATGTGGTTATAAGTCTAGCTGATACGGATGTGGTTATTCTAAGTACACTAGCTGATAGGGATGTGGTTATACTAAGTACACTAGCTGATATGGATGTGGTTATGTTAAGTACACTAGCTGATAGGGATGTGGTTATGCTAAGTAGTACTCCGTGGTGTAGTGGTTAAGTCACTCGCCTGGCGTTTCACGATCGCTTTGGCCTGGGTTCGTATCCTGGCCGGGAAGGATTTACTGGGCGCCAATCCTTAACTGTAGCCTCTGTTTACCCAACAGTAAAATGGGTACCTGGTTGTTAAACGATTTGGCGGGTCGTATTGCGGGGAAAATTAGGATTAAGGACCTGCCCGACACCCTATACGTGCTGGTGGTTATCTTGAGGTTATCTTGAGATGATTTCGGAGCTTAAGGTCCCCGCGGCCCAGTCCTTGACCAGGCCTCCTTTTTGTTACAACCCCCCCCCACTGCAGCCCGTAACAGCTGTCTAACTCCCAGGTACCTATTTACTGCTAGGAAACAGGGGCATCAGGGTTAAAGTAACATTTTGCCCATTTCTCTCTGCCTCCACAGGGGGATCGAACCCGGAAGCTCAGGACTACGAATCCGAAGTGCTGTCCACCCAGCTATCAGGCGCCCCGATGGAGACATACCTAACTTCGATTCCGGATTCAAAGTCCCAGAGGCTCGGTCTCTGACCAGGCCGCCCAGCTGGTTATATTGATGTGGTTATATTGGCTATAATCTGGACTATATTATAACCAGTACACTCGGTGGTGAGGACATGGCTGTAAGCCACACACAGACATGCCAGAATTTGACTGTAATCCCAACACTTGTGAGAACATTGCTATAATCCGGACAATAGCCAGAGGACTTTGGCTGTAATGCGATTTCATAACTGTTCATCAATATATCATCAGTGTCATTTACACGGAGGAATCACACTGACGTGATATATATATATAATAAATGAGAAAACCAACTGGACCTCTGAGGGGGGACTCGAACCCGGCACCGAGATAATCCCAGCCGCAGACGCCATACCATTGGACCACCCTGACTCGTTAAGCCATATAACCGGATTTGTACTGACACCACCAGTCGGGAAGTCACTCTTGAAGCCAGTGTGGCTAGTCTCAGCCGCTGGGATTCTCACGGTCGCGGGTTCGAGTCCCCTCAGAGCTCCAGTTGATTTTCTCATCAGTATCAGTATAATACCAGAGGTTCACACTGATACTGCAGTATAATGTACTGATACTTGGTACAGAGTTACTACAAGACACTAGTATAATGTCTGGTGTCTGGTAGGAAGCATTCTAGTCACGGACCAAGAGCAAGAGTCCCCAGTCGTGACTGGGCTAATCCCCTAATCCTTGTCTTTCATACAAAGATAACTTACTGAAGCTAAGATCATTTCGGATAAGCGTTCACTGGCTCTACCTGATCTGTCTTACAGACTAAGCCAAACTTCGTAGACACATTCCATACACAAACAGTCACCTGGATCAAATAGTTTTGTATTAGCCAGTTTGCTAACCTCGGCCTCAAAACTATTAGTTTCCAGCAGGAATGTGACCTATTGTGGCCTGGCTGGCTAGCTGGTTGACTGGCTGGCTGGCTGGCTGGCTGGCTGGTTGACTGGCTGGCTGGCTGGCTGGCTGGCTGGCTGGCTGGCTGGCTGGCTGATTGGCTGGCTGATTGGCTGGCTGGTTGACTGGTTGGCTGGCTGGCTGGCTGGCTGGTTGACTGGCTGGCTGGCTGGCTGGCTGGCTGGCTGGCTGGCTGCCCAGCTTGACAATACACACTCCAACTGAACTGCCCCCTCTCACCCTCCACATATATTGTATTCGTCATAGAGGTTCTCTCTCTCTCTCTCTCTCTCTCTCTCTCTCTCTCTCTCTCTCTCTCTCTCTCTCTCTCTCTCTCTCTCTCTCTCTCTCTCTCTCTCTCTCTCTCGTGGAGGTTTTCTCCCCTCACAGCACATCTCTCGGAGCTATAGTGAAGGTTTTCACCTCTCAGAGCTATAGTGAAGGTTGTCTCTCCTCACAGCACACCTCTCAGAGCTATAGTGAAGGTTGTCTCCCCTCACAGCACACCTCTCAGAGCTATAGTGAAGGTTGTCTCTCCTCACAGCACATCTCTCAGAGCTATAGTGAAGGTTGTCTCCCCTCACAGCACATCTCTCAGAGCTATAGTGAAGGTTGTCTCCCCTCACAGCACCTCTCAGAGCTATAGTGAAGGTTGTCTCTCCTCTCTCAGAGCTATAGTGAAGGTTGTCTCCCCTCACAGCACACCTCTCAGAGCTATAGTGAAGGTTGTCTCCCCTCACAGCACATCTCTCAGAGCTATAGTGAAGGTTGTCTCCCCTTACAACAAAGGGATTCTTAGACGTGAAATTGGAAAGTTTCTTCTAGTCTTGTCCTGTGAAGAGCTTCTACAGAGCTCTGTAAAATTGGCATCTGGTATCTTCGCGTTTCTTGGGTTTCCTTAAAGTTGATTTGAATGTATTTAGCTTATCTTGGATTTTTAGCTAATTTTCATTAACTTAATTTTGTCTTGTTTATCTTATGTTGGAGGTGTAAGGCTCATCTGACGGGCACCCACTCTGAGACATGTCTGTGTCTAGGCCCCTCACATGAGACATGTCTGTGTCCAGGTCCATCATATGAGACATGTCTGTGTCCAGGTCCATCATATGAGACATGTCTGTGTCCAGGTCCATCATATGAGACATGTCTGTGTCCAGGTCCATCATATGAGACATGTCTGTGTCCAGGTCCATCACATGAGACATGTCTGTGTCTAGGTCCATCATATGAGACATGTCTGTGTCCAGGTCCATCATATGAGACATGTCTGTGTCTAGGCCCATCATATGAGACATGTCTGTGTCTAGGCCCCTCACATGAGACATGTCTGTGTCTAGGCCCATCATATGAGACATGTCTGTGTCTAGGCCCATCATATGAGACATGTCTGTGTCTAGGCCCATCATATGAGACATGTCTGTGTCCAGGTCCATCATATGAGACATGTCTGTGTCCAGGTCCATCATATGAGATATGTCTGTGTCCAGGTCCATCATATGAGACATGTCTGTGTCTAGGCCCCTCACATGAGACATGTCTGTGTCTAGGCCCCTCACATGAGACATGTCTGTGTCTAGGCCCATCATATGAGACATGTCTGTGTCTAGGCCTATCACATGAGACATGTCTGTGTCTAGGTCCCTCACATGAGACGTGTCTGTGTCTAGGCCTATCACATGAGACATGTCTGTGTCCAGGCCCATCACATGAGACATGTCTGTGTCTAGGTCCATCACATGAGACATGTCTGTGTCCAGGTCCA